TTAATTTCCCACAGTTTTACAATAGATATTCTCTAATTTGGTGACATAAATAAGATGTACTTCGTAATTTTCAAACATTAATGGAAAAAATAGTCCTGTAAAAATCACTAACAGTGAAAATTATTGAGACTCAATTTGTATAGCTTACTGTTCTGGTGAGAAATGTTGACAAAGTCTTTTGATGTAAGAAATGCAAACCATTTTTAATAGTAACTCCATAATTAGAAGTTTCTGTTATTTTAGATGAATCTCTGATCCTTATTAGTTTTAATATTATCTAACCAAGAAATTACAATGTTTAAAATTTCCTCATTCATGTAAACTTTAAGGAAACTATGCCAAATTACAAATCAAGAATGTCAAGTATGTGATTACAACAGCTGAAAAGTTAATTGAGGAACTGGTGTGTCAGTTCATTGGGGAAATACTTGGATTTTAGGTTACTATAAAGCTTAAAGGAATTTGTTGAACAAGGCTATTGAACTTAAATTTGTGTTTCTTTAAAGATGATCTCAAGAAGAAAGATGAGAACACTTTCACCCCTTGCTGCTCTTACTGTCTTTACTGCCATACTCTTTTAATGTAGGCTAACTTTCTGACTGTTTTTGATTTGCCCCTAAAGCATCTGATAAGTTTTTTGGTTTGTGTGGTTTTTTATAGATATTAGAGGTTATGTTTTGTACATAAATCCAGTGCAATTTTTTTAAAAAAAAATTTTAATAAGCTGTAATAACTAAAAAATTAAATTTTAGCCAATTATAATATTCTTTGGAGAGGCATTCCCAAATGGGCTTTGGACTGGGAGCTGGTCTCATCAATTGTTTAGGTCGGTTATCTAACCCTGAATGTTTTAAATTGGTATGAGTTTAAGGTGCTACATTTGTGTTTATTTCATCTCTTTTGATCACTGAAAAGTAGCCCTCAACTAAAGGTGCTCATTATAGTATAATCACAGTTTATAGTAGATTAATTGTTTATAGTATTTAATAACTTTGAAAATTAGGATAGCCTAAATAGGAAACATTTATTTTTATTATTAATTGTTCTATTATTTATTTGTATTACAACTGTAAACTTACTTTTGCCCACCTCTGTATTTATTGAATGCCTACCTTGAGCGAAAGGTGAGAGAGGAGAAATTGAGTTGACCCTTAAGGAATTTATACTCCAATACTAGATTTTTCTTAACTGCTAGCTTTAAAAGATTATAATGAAATATTCAGACCATAGGGCTCTTAATTTTTAATACGTAAGCAGAATCTTTAACAGAGTTAAATTCAAAATTCTATTTAGAATACAGACAAATATAATTATGTGCAAAACAGCACTACATTAATGTTAAAATGTTATGTTATTTGAAGTGCTGTAAAAATATTAATAACAGCATTTAAATTATATTGTTTGAAAACTCAGATACAGAAAACATCTGATTTTAATAATTAACTTTAATTATGGGAAAGGCAAGGGAATGTTCAGTGAATGTAAAAAATATACTACTGAGCAAACAGGAATTGTTTTCATGAATTTTGATTTTCTGTTTCAATTTTTTGGTACATTGACTTCTGACATTGCGTTTTACTATTTATTAAACAAATTAAGCCCCAAAGACACATTAAGCTTTAAGGAGTTGGCAGTCTTGTTGAGGAAACAATAAAATAGGAATTAATCTAAAATGCAAAACTATATAATAAGTAGGTTTCATAAAACTATGTTTAGTTTTTTCTTCCTAACTACACAAGTTAGAGTAGTATTGACTTAATAGTAATTTATTTATTTAACTTTTGTTTTTCTCTGAAAAATCACAAGTCAAGTAGGGCCAGTGTAATTTGTTGAAGCTTACTGCTGTACATTACGAGAAATTCTAACCAATGGTTCAGTGGCAACAATTTTTTTAAAGTGCCATGTTTCTTTGACATAATTAGTAGTATGTAGATTGTAGAAGTAAATTAAGACCAATCTAGAATAATCTTTGTGGAATAATGTACATGAAAATGCTAATAAACTGTTTTGGGGTTACAAAATAACTGAATATTTTGCAGTTTACAATGCTTCCAGGTATTTTAAATAAAGATGAAAAATTTAAGAGTATTATACTACATTTTTATAACCAAATTTCCCTCTTTTAGCAATACTAATATTAGTAGCAGTTAGCCATTAGTGATTATTGATAGCCCAAATAAATATGACCTTAGGCCCTTCTAAATAATGTCTATTACTTTTAACTGCATTTAAAGACAGATTTCCTCAAGGCTAATCAGGGGTTAAATGATGATCCTCCTGTTCCTCTGGAAACTGAAAAGAAGCTTCCCTCACTTTAAGGGTATGCAGGAATTTGCTCTCTTCCCACTGAACTAAATGTATCCTTTACATAGCCATTTGCTAATCTCAGTTGTTTTCCTGCTCCATTCAAGTTGGGGCCACCATAAATAGTAAGTACTAAGACCAAAACCACACTGTCATGACTGGGCAAGTGACCAGGGCAGATACTCTCCTTCCTCACCTATCCTGTTCTCATTGTCAATTTCTGAACAGACTTTTGAAATAATAGTATATTCCCAGCTAAATAAGTCAACTTGTGGTCTATTTATGGTGTTCAAGGAGTTCACTAACCCTGTGAAACAAGATGTGTTTATTGCGTTTTTCTAGGGAACTTTATTTGTTAAATACAAGTTCCGAGGACCACCTGAGGTGGTGTTTTTTACTTTATGTGTTGTTGGCCTCTGGGCTTGAAACTTTAGTTAAGGAATACCACTTTAGTTCATGAAATTGTAAGAATGACAGCAAACAAGCAAAAACCTATTTCTGTTTTTAAAGAACTACAATAGATTTTAAAATAAAGTTTAATTAATTGCATTTAACTATTTTTCAGTTTCCCCTCTGTTGAAAATGTACAGATAAGAGATTAAGTGTATTCAAAATAAATCCCAAAATAAATCCCAAGTGTATTCATCAACTAATTGGGAATGCCTAAAGATTTATGTGCATTTATTACCATTGTGTACATAGTTGTGTGTACTTCGTGTTCATGGTTGACATTGATCAGAATGTTTCTAATGGTGTGTCCAAGACACTGCCATCTTCTTGTTCTTCTTTGCGTTCACTTGCTCTGCTGCTCTTCGCTGCAGTTTCTGATGAATGTACCTAGGAATTGACTCAGACCTTGCTTTTGTATAGATCTGTCGACAGAGCTACTTTACCCCACCGCAGATTCTTGTAGTTTATTTGTGGGCCCAGTATATAATAATTGGAACTTAAAGGATACTACATCAGACTGCAGTTCAGCGTAGCTCTTTTTTTTAAGTGCTAACTACTTCTATCCTAAAAATTGCTCAGTGGATATTATGAATACATTAATTATTTCTGTGCCTTTTTTTCCATATGTAGATTCTTATATGCATAATAATCGTTATTTAAAACCCACAATTCCATGCATTGTTTGAAGGGGGGGAAGCTAGCACCTCTTCATGTTTTATTTACAAACATTAAAATTAACTGAACCAAAGGGAAAGGGCATATTTGAGAGAAAACATCTGTTTTACTTAGACTCCAATAATTAGGCTGATGCATTTGATATATGTTAAGCTCATTCTTAAAAGGTAAATATTTCACAATATGCCTCCTGGCTTACAAATTAGTGCTTTTTCTACTAAACATTCTTTCTGTCTTGCTAATAAAATCCAATTTCCAGAATCATAGTTAGTTGCTAAGCAGATATGCATAAAACCATAAATTTATCCAAGTCATTTATTATTGAAAGAGTAGCATATAAAAATTTAAACAGAAGTCATTGATCAGTGAAATGACAGAAAATAAGGAAAATAAGAACTATAGTAGAATAAGATAAAAGGCCTTTAAAGAATTATCTGAAAAACTGAGCTCAAGTATGAGGTCTGGGTCTTCTTAAGCAATACTTTCTCTTAAATTAAAATGTGCAGGAACTCACTTATCACTTCTTAGGCTTTCTTTGCCAATGTGCACTATTTGTTTAGCAACTAAATAATTAAACGATAATTATTTGAAATTAATCTTAAGGCCACAACTTATATAACTTATTAATATTCCTGCTACATATGGACTAACATTGTTTTGCCTCACTACAATACTTTGTACAATCTTATAACTGCTAAATGTCTTATAAAGAGCTACCAGCCCTTGTAAATAGGTCCCGGCTTTCAGCCTGGTAAAAGTTGGCAAAATTCTGACATAGCTTGAATTGTCAGAAACAGGGGCATCATTCTTTAGTAGTGAGCACACATCCTTTCTTTGCTAGCTAGGATGAAATCTGAGCTCTGATTCTATAGAACATTAGTGCAATAGCTCTCCTCAGCAGATATAGAGAAGTCATCTTACTGTTACTTTATTTTCATAGTTTTTTATTTTTCTGAGATTGCATATAACCTCACTTGGGAATGTTACTTCCCTAAACCATTGTGCTTCACAGATGTGACTATTTCCACCTGGGAAGTATAAGAAGATATGAAGCCTGGTCAAATGTCTACCACAAGATAAGAGATTAAGTTTATTCAAATGAGCTCAACAAATGAAAAGGGTGTGTCTTTGCGAGTTACTGTACTTTCCTAAAGTCACGTCTTATAGT